CAGAGATTTCACTGCTGAGCTCTGCTTAGACTCAGCTGAAGATCTTTCCTCAGACAAAATGTATGAGCCTTAGAGACCTTTTTGGTCTTAATACTTAGGTCCAGATTTTGGTGAAAAGATGCTCTCCTATTCTGCATAATTTCCCTTGAAAACCTAAGTGAGTCTGCCAATAAAACATCCTTGAGGATCTAACTATTTGGGTTTTGGGTGCTCTTGGCATAAGGCAGACAGTTTTGAGGATTAAAAATTTGAGTATAGGCACCAGCAGTGACACCTGAACAAAACTGTCATCTAAACTTTTGGCAGCTCTTGCCCTTAATACTCCAGCACTCCAGCTCCCTCTCTTCAGTGTTAGAGTGATAGTACCACATTATCAAAGCTGGCTAATGTTGCAAGGAGCACAAAACATTCAAAATTGGAGTCTCCAGCATGCAGAGATTGCAAGAATGGGCTCTTTGTCTGCTTATTTCTGAACTCAATAAAATATTGCTTCATTTCACTGCCCAAAATCTGAGACTTCACTGAAGTTTGTTAAAATAAAACCACCAGTATCTAGAGAATATTTATTGGACAATTAACTTCAAATATTTCCAATAGAATTCACTATTTCAGTATAAGTGAGCAAATTTTACAAACTGAAACTATAAAATAACAGCAAGGTTTGTCTTAAAGCTTCCAAAAACTTTCCTAGAAAATGACGTCTCTAAAATGAAAGCTATACCAAATGCCTAGAGTATATAAACATTTTCAGAAGCATAAAAAGATTATATAAACAACTCTAATATTAATGAATGATCCCAATTTTCACATGTCAGGAATTCAGAGATAATGAAGAGTAAATGATCCAAGTTTCAGCCACAGGTGACTTCTATGGGGCAGAGGCTAAAGCATTTCTGGCATGTTATAGAGATGGATCTGGTGCTGCAGAAAGTTATAATACCATCATAGTTTACATATTTATAGTTAATCTCTTTCTGAACAGTTTTACTTATGAAACAGTTATGAAATAAACATAGTTAAAAAAAAATTAGGTCCTAGTGGGATCTTTCACCTGCTGAAGTCAAAAGAAAATGATATGCCTTTGCTTTAGTCATGATAAAATTGTATGACACACATCACGTTGGATTTCAGAGTGGATAGTTTGAAGACCCCTTATGAAAAGTCTAACAGTGATTTAAGCTTGTAGAGAGTGCAGGAAGAGAGGATTTTGCCCTGAGTCACATATAAAGTGAACCTGCCTCTCCAACCATTGCAGAGTTTGCACAGCAGCTGGGCTGAACTTAAAGGTAGGAAACAACTCACTGTTGCAAGATAAAGCTGTTTTCATTCCAACACAGATTGCCCACATGGGGGAGTACAGTTATTCTGCAATCAGTGTGCTGGTCAATTTTCCTTGTGCAGTTATAGATTTTACATAACTTTTTTTTTTTCCCCAACTTACTTTGTTGTGTGAATGATTAAATATGTGGATTAAATTTTATGCTAGAAAAAAAAAACAAACAAGGTGGTATTCCTGGTAGCAGTGTTGTTCCTTGTTTCTGGTTAATGGCATAATGAGTTCCTGAGAAAAAAGATTTGCATAATTAGTATAGAGTTTTGTTTCTCTACGGGTATGTGTTTGCTTGTAACCCACACAGAAGCCTGGATGCTCTGGAAGATCTCACTTTAAAGCATCAAACTACTACTGCAGCACCACAGAAGGAACATCACTGGGTGTTCCAGTCATATCTGACCCTCAATGCTGCCTCAATCCCCTCACTACCAAACAGGCATTGTCCCTCTGCAGAAATCTGAGTGTTAGATCAGTTGGTAGATAACTGGTACTCTGAAAACCAGTCACTGCCAGTTCAAAGCCTTCTTCGGGCTTTTGCACCAAAGGCTAATCGGCTTCCCCACCCTGGGCTTTGCCTATAGCCAAGAGAGGTAGTCTTGGTTTCTCACTTCCTGGATCAGTGTGTCCAGTCAGTTTTGTAACCAAGACACATTACTCCTACTTCAAAAAGCACTATGAGCCCCCACTTGAAAGTGGACAGTGAATATTAATTTTCTTTGTACTCCAGGCACTTCTGAAATGTCTAAGTTAATACTTCATTTAATGTGTTGCCCTTGTTTTTTCAAGCTCATTTTATTCTACTGCAGCAGAGCAATGTATATCATAACAGGAGATAAAAGTCTCCGTTGATTTACAAGGCTGGTGACTGAAGAGCAGTGACACACAGAAAAAGCTGGAGCACTAGAGTGAAGGAATTCACAACTTTCCATCATTTATGATTTTTAACCAGGATATTAGATTTTCTTGTTGAGCAAATGCTTCTTAATCAGATGCAAAAAGAACACTTCAACACAGCAAATTTATTTCTAAAGGGAACAAAACCACAGTGTGGTACTGAAGCAAATGATTCTGAGAATTCTCCTGTGATCCAGACATCTCCACTGAGAATGGAGTAAGATGTTTTTTTATCTCCCTAAAATGAATAGACACGCTGAAAAATAGCAAAGTAAAAAAAGAGGTACTAGACTAGAAAGCGAGAGAGAATATCCAGAACTAGAAGAGAGCAGAAAGTTTTTAGAACTGAGAAAGGAATGAGTCCTTGTCACAATAATCCTACCAGTGTAACTAAATAAATGTTCAGTCTTCACGTTTTGAAGAACAGATTGCCTTTTTTCACAAAATATGTAACCACTTAGTATTTTATATGTGTTTGTCTGTAGAGCTGAAATAGTTGAAATAAACTGTTCATTTCAGGAGTTGGAGGAGAGTGGCCAAGAAAGGTAATGAGGCCTGAGGCAGACATCATCATCAAAGGCATGCTTCTGGAGGAAATAACAAGTTAAAAAATAAGGTGTAAAATCTTGTATAAGATTAAGAAGTACTAGGGACTGGACCACAGCCTTGATGGTCAAGTCCCAGATGAACAAAGTCATGAACAAAGCACTCTGTTGTCACAGCTGGCTCTGCTTTGCGTGGGAGGTTAGTCTAGATGACCTTTAGAGGATCCTTCTATTCTGAACTATTCTCTGACTCTATACACCATTCTCCATTTATTAATAACTGACTGAATATTGTTCATCTTAATAGACACAAATTAAATGGCATGACTGTTTTAAAACTACTGAAATTCCCACATAGAGGCATATTCTTAGTTTGCTTTTCTGGATCCATACTTTTTTTAAGGAATCCTCTTGAGTTCTTGCTTTTGCTGGTAGTCAAACAATGTTCAAAGATAAACTGCATGAAGTGACAGTCTCACTACTGTTAGTAACGAGCTGATTAATAGCAATAAAACTGTTCAGTCTATCTGCTGCACCTCATGAAAGACACAACCATGCTGCAACAGGAAGCCAGCTGGTTTTGGGAAACAGTACATGACCACATCACAGTAGGTTCATTGATTGCAGTATGATCTTCACAGGCAAAACAAGAAGTAAGATTTTCTTAATTAAAAATTTATTTGAATAGATGTGTTCAGACTGTACATTTTTCAGCAGTAAGTTACATCTTGCCAGTTGTGAGGGTGCAGCCACAAATTCACAGAAATAAGTGGAAAGTAGTGTGACTACATGCCTGATATTGCTCCTGCTAAAGGTGAGGGATAAAACTGTCTTAGTTCTCCACAGTGAATTTGTGCCTCAGTGAGTGAAGCAGATTTTCCATTAATTCCAGAACTCAGGAAACTCAGTTCTTCAGAAAATACAGAAAACCACAAAAGATCTCAAGGTTTGCCTGTTCTTCATAGGAGTCAGAACTTTACAATATAATTGAATTTATCCAAACAAAAACAAGAACACTGGCTACAAAACAACAGGCCTTGCTCAAACCAAAGCCAACAGAAACTCAGTGCTACAATAGTTGTTGGTGGGAGGAAAATCAAGCAATGCTGAAAACAAGGAATCAGCTAAAGCAATCATGAACTACTCATACTTGCTTGGAACAGTTTTCTAAAAGTATTCTTTCTCTTGAACATATTTGAATTTATGTTTTCTGTTACATGATTTCACTTAGCTCTAATTCCACTAAAAAGTTTTTTGCAAGATAAATGGGGAACAGAGTTACTTTTCAAGTGACTTACTACAGGAGTTGAAGCTTAAGAAAATGTTATAAAAGTGACACTCAATTTCCTAAATCTGTGTCATATTCATCAGCTATTTATCAGTTTTTCAACATGGTGTCAAATTATTGCACCATTTTAGAATGTTAATAGCCTTTTGTCATTTCATTATGCATCCATTTTACACATAACATTTCTGAACCTAACCACTGGGGTTCAAAACAACAACAATAAATAAGCATTATGATACTGCACTTTGTTTCAGAGAATGGGTGTCAAATTCTTGTTATGAAGGTCAGTGAAGGTCAGTGGGTGAAGAACTTTTTGGGAAGCTACAGCTGCAGAGTTTCCATTTTGCCAGCTGTGCTCCAGCTGTGTCACAGTCTGAGGCGCTCCTGCCGTGGGCCTGACTGTCCTCTTTAATGTGTCAGTGAGAGGCTGAGGAGACCCCAAGTCCCCTCCAAGTATAACAACAGGTTAAAATCAAAAATACTCTGACACTTTGGATGTGCTGGTCTCCCTGCTGTTGAAAAGTAAGTGTTCGTAGTTACATAACACCCTGCATCTCCACATGTTTAAAGTATTTTTGATGAAGCCAGGGATATAGGGAGAAAATATGAATTTTGTTATGATTTCTTCTTCTTGTTCTCCTTCATAGGGATTTTAAAGTATGACTAAAGAAATAGGAAGAAGGGCTTAACTCCCAAAACAACTTTTTTGATTATTCTTGCCTAATTGCTGAAGTGAAATGGGACAATGATGTTGCTAGTGATTGCAATTGAGGTTTGTGTTCATGTCAATGCATATATATAAAAGAACAAAATATAAGAATTCTTTATGCTGAATAACCTATAGGCAATGCATTTGGATAGCCTTTAAGCACAGGTGCATAGCCAAGGCAAAAAAACCCCACCAAAACACAAACAAACCAAAAAACCCCCTTTTCTTTACCTTTGGAGTTTACTGCACCAGCTGCAATTGAAACCAATCTGGGCAGTGACACAGGGACCACAGCTGGTAAACTGGAGACAAGCTGAGATGTAGATAAACAAACACAAATTATTATATTACTATCACAAATAATTCACATAAAAATCACAAAAGAAGAATACATCTTCTGATAATATATATATCTAGGGACTCAACAGGTTCACATGTCCAAAATAAGACTTTGAAACCAGCTTATGACAATGCATTGCACAACTGCATTGACAAAAGTACATTAATCTGTAGGATCCCATTTATATTCCATTTGTTAATTTATTACCACTTCCATATCTGTGAATTCACCTTCATTGTTATTTTTTAATCTTTTTTTTTCCTCAATATTAAGAATTTCCTTAAATCTCTTTTTTTCCTGGTTCCAACATTCCTTGGTGTTGCTAACATTCAGACATAAGCAGATAAGAGTAGCAGAAAAGTGTGCAAGAACTATAACTAGATTAAAAAGTAAGAAAAATAGATTTTTTATTTTTTATTGTTTTCACAGTAGTACAGCTGGTATTTTAAATTCAGAGATTTCTAACCAATGTAGTTTAACCTTGGACAAAAGAGAGAGATGAACTGCAAAATATGTTTGGGGATATTCATTTGTGATGGGATGCACAGTGCACAGAAGAATTTATGTTTGCCTTGCAAGCATGAAAATTGTTCTTCTTTTTTTTTTTTTTTCTTGAGGAAACAAATTTAAAGGCAATATAATCATTCTTCTGAAAAAATGATTTGGCACAAATTTCATTCAGAACCTACTGGGAGCTACATACCTATAAACTAACTTGAGATACATGAGGATGTACTGTATAAATGCATAATCCATATGGGAATCTGCGAGAGGAAAAATGAATCTGTTCATGAATACAAGTCCACAGATGAAAAAAAAAAAAAATTTAAAATTGTGTTTGTGTTGCTGGGAGGGAGAGGGAGGTGCTTCCTAGATCTGGCTCCTGCTTATTATGCTTTACTTACTTGGAAGAGGTATCATTTCAACAGCTGAGAGATTGGTAATCTTTGACATCTGTAGCTCCACCCTGTGGTATTCATAAATTGTTCTTCTACGGACATCTATCAGAAAAGAAAAAAAAAAATCATATTTTACTACTTTGCACTCTTTAGATGGTGAAATACAGTGGATGTAATGACTGCACGTTGTTCCTTAAGGGCATACAGGGCACCAATTTTCTCCAAGAATATATTTTTGACTTTAGACTTCATGAAAGAATATGTAAAGATAGAGAATTTTTTACTTGAAAAACCCTCACAGCCGACAGAATAAGTACTTATTCCTGGCAAAGAATTATGAAAATGCTGAGTGTGCTCTCAAGCATCTTAGTGATTGATTTAGGCAAAAATTCTAGAGAGTATACTGTCAGACATTTTAGGGTGTATTTCAGATGCTTGCTAAGACATTTCTCAGCTTACAGACTTGAGAGAAATGTTTTATATGCTCACTTTGTCAGTTCTTGCCAAGATGTGCAAACAAAACTGATTTCATTGCTTAATCAAATTTGTTAGCTACAAGCTGGCTCACATCTAAATGTACTAGAATATTTTTCATATTATAACATTGTTTTAAAGAAGACAAGACAAGCCTTCCTAAACAGCCAGTGTTATGCATAATCTTTACACAAGCTGACTGCACTTGAGTTTCTCAAAGAAGAAATTCAATATAGTCAATGCATTGTTCTTATGAGCTTTGAACTCACAGGCAACTGTAAGACCCAAGCACAAGATAAGCATGTTAAAAATCACATGCTATTTCCCAGATCAATATCCTGTAAAATATTTTGAATATTCTAGATTTTATGTGCACAGTTGCAATGCAGACTGCTGATCTTCTATATTTGCAAATTAAAAATCCAGCCTATACCACCAGTCTAATATAGAAAATTATAATTCTCTGATGTGCTGGTTTCATATTTATGTTCCTTTTGAAGGCCTGTTAAACTAATGGTAATCACTGACACTGTAGAATCATTCCACAGAGGAATAAAGGGTTACATACAAAGGATTAACAGGGTACTCTGGTCAATGACTGGTCTGAGTCTATATGCAACAGAAGAAAAATTACTTGTAGACAGCCATAAACTCAACCTTAGGGGGTCTTCTGTGTTGCCAGTCCTGCATTGATTAGCTCTCAGGCACAGGTGGGCAGCGTTTGGCTTCCAGACAATGATATTTCTGCTTAGCTCAAATCAGCACCTGTGCTAAGCATTTCCTATTGCAACTTATCTGAAGCTTTGCTTCGCCCCTTCTAATAGCAGATTTCTCTTTCAGTATGAAATTAACCTATAATTCAGCTAGTTATATGTTTGACCTACAAAGTCATTCTGACTAGTTAAAAGACAGATATGAGCAAGTGCCAAAGTTTACTCCAATAAATGCCTTAGCCATGTCCTTCAAACCCACTAGACAGGAAGAATTTTCAAGACAAAGCTAATCATGTGCTGGGGTAGGGAAAATCTCTTGCCAGCTGCAAGAGGTTTACCCTCACAGGATGGTCAGTCCCATAAAAGCACCTGCCAAATCAGAAGGATCAGAAAACTGTCTTTGAAATGAACTCCTGACAATGCTGAAGGATGTAATTTTTTTCCACAAATATCTTTACCCTTCTTTCGAAAAAAATAAGCAAGTGAACACATAAGTTCAAATGGTGAATCCTGACACTTTAGTTGAACTCCATCTCATCCAAGACGAGCCCCCACAAGTTCTGGGTGTGGGAATCCACAGATAGTCCTCAAGTTTGCAGGTTTTGACAAAGTTTGTCTAATTCACCTGGATGCCAATTAAAGGCCAGTTGCTATTCTCATCATCAATTCTTGGCATTTGAGTACAAATCCAACAGTTATTTTTATGAAGAATATTAGATGGCACTAGAGGCACATGTAACTTTCATTTCCAAACCTGAATCATGGTTACCAACTGTACAGATAATAAATATGGAAGAAATAGTCTAAGCCACATCTTCTTCATCTGTATCAGTCTCTGTTTGACTAGATGTCCCAGGAGCAGAAGCTCTTTTAACTCTGGAATAGTGAAACCAGGGTCCTTCACCAGCAGCTTTGACTGTGGTGAGGGAGGTCAGCAGACCTCGGAATGGTTCTCTCATCAGTAGCAGTACAGACTGGTATGCTATAATCTTGTTAATGCTGAACCTTTCCTAATGGACTCCTCACAAGGCTTACAATAAATAAGGAATAAACCAGAAATCTAGCTTTCAAAAAATTTGTTAAGAATCAGTGACTTGGAGCACAAGTACTTTTACCTCATCCAGTGCATGAAATTTTTGAAAAACACTACTTTTAAGAGAATTGTGTTATCAAAAATTATATTTCTAATCATGCATATTTCAGCATGACTCTTGCTCCCATTAAATACCACTTCCTGACAGACTAAAGTCTGATCTTTTTCTTCAGAAAGATGACTGTGTCAACCACGGGTGGTGAGTTTGCATATGAGGCATCCACCTACTGTAAGGAACCTAAGCACAGAGAAGTATTTGCATAGTCACCTTCTAATGGCTTTGTATATACTTGCATGCAGGTTGTTGGAAACACGAGTATTCGAATTTATCTGTCTGGTCAGGCTGTAAAAACATGCAACCCTAGATTCTTTTGAAAGTTTGACTTATACACACCATGCTTAGATCCTCAAAATGCACTTTTCCTATTTAGAATTCAGAACCTGTATCCCCTTAACAAAACTAGGAAAAAAGGCTAAACTCAACAGTATAAACAGAAAAATTAATACTCTCCCCTGATGCTTTCCACTCAACCTCCTCACACACTCCTCCTGCAACCCAGAACACACATTGCCTGACATTCAGGTGTAACCTTTTATGCTTTGTCTTATGCTGTCTATTTAGCTCTTTCACAAAAAAATCACTAGTGTAGAATCACAAAGAGCTTATGAGCCCATGTACCTCAGTATACATCTTAAAATGACAAGAACTAGTGAAACTGATACAGGAACAGATAAATATGTAAGCATCATATACAGGTGTTTTTCTGCAAAGAGGTGTTGCATCAGGTCTGGCAGAGAAAGGAGGAAAGGAAAAGGACTTTTTGCATGCATATATACTTTTGAAGTACCAGTCCCAGTTCTGAGTGTCAGAAAATATATATATATATCTTTTTCCCAGTCAAGGAAACATTTTACATTTCTGTAAGTCTGAGTTTCTCAAACACACCTTTTTAACAGAATAACTCATATTTTTCAATATCAGAGTTTCAATATTTTTCAATTCTTTTTTTTTTTTTTTTACATTTGGTTTAATTTTTATAGTATGGTTTAAACTGTTCTTTGTTTTGTTTCTGTGACATGTACATGTGCTATCTTTGAACACAAGGCTAAAGGTACAGTTTCAGAAGAAAAATCTGAAGAAAACACCAGCCACTTGAGGTAAGAACATTCCTCAGTGATGTGGAGAGATAACGTGGTGGGTCAGAAGGCTGGTTGAAAGAATCCTTTCAAGGGATTAGACAATGGATCGGTAAATTATAATTGTGTAAGATTCTGGTGTGACAAAACACTTCCATGTGGTTTTATCACAGTAGTATTAAACTAAATGATGCCAAAGGGAACTGCCAGAATTGACTTCAGTGACTCCTTAAGAGGTCTGAAGGCTCAGTAGCTCATAAAAAACCATTCTAAATATGTGTCTGACAGGTGCATAATCTCTCAGTATCTTTTCTATTACATAATCACTTTTCCTCATACACTACTCCTCAGCTAAAACCTGCAATACAGTGAAATGTGAAAATACCAGAGAAGTCATTCTGAGTTTTTAAATTATATGTTCATACAAATAAAAACCTTTGCTTGAAAGATTTCTAGGGAATTGGGATTGGCCATATATACAGAAAAAAGCCTACTAAACAAGGCCATATGTATTCACACAACTGCACTTTCACTTTTAAGTTTTGCTGATAGAGAAAACACAAATGGTAAGAGGGTGTATTTGATTATCCAGAAGTCAATTTGAAGCAAGCAATTTATGAGACATATCCAGCAAGCTGCAAGCAGTTTGTGAAAAATATAAGGCATTGAGAGGGGTGGGGCACAGCTGCTGTGCTATAAAGCCACTGACTTTGCTTGACAGCAACCCTGTTTAACATCACTGACTGAATAAAACTTTCAGGCAAATATATAATTTGCCAGCCTGGTATGTCTGATAGTGATCACCACAAAAGGCAGGGGAATCAGAACATCCAAGCAATCTATTCTTTGTTTTTAACAGCTTTGTATTGCTAAAGTTAAAGGGTTGGACTTGATGATCTCGGAGGTCTTTTCCAACCCGGTTGATTCTATGATTCTATGAATATTAACTAGCTAATTCTTGAGGCGCTGACACTGGGACCAAACGTGCCTGTAATCCAAACACCACCTCAATTGCTCTTGGACATTGACTATTACACACATCTGAATCTAGATAAAAATTCAGATCCCCTAGTTGTACTAATTTTATTTTTCTCTTTAAAAAAATCCTTTCAAACTTGGAAGCCATGGGTCAAAGATGTATAATCTGTGAACAAGCAAACCAGTAAAGTAGGTTCTGAAAACACCTTTTTTATGAACAATGCAGAAAAAAATGTACTGTCCCAGTGCTCTGTGTCTACCAAAAATTATTTACTTTGAAACTCTCCGTGTCCTTTCACATTTACCTGAATTCCTGATGCCAGCTGAGTGGCTCTTAGTACAGGATCTAGGTGTGAAAAGTTTGCTTTATTTCGTTAACCCACTATGCAGCAAACTGCCTCACTCTGAGGCTGGTCTGTAGTGGGTTATGAGAATATTTTGAACTTTGATCACCTGTCATGCTGCTAACAGTCAGCGGCATGCCCTGCTCTTTCATCCACTGCTCCTGAATCACACATCTAGTGCAAGGAACACAGCAGCCCTTTTGTACCAGCAGACAAACATGTGGAGCTGGAGGAGTTGGTACTGTGGGGTTAGTTACTCTAGTGGAAGAGATGAATAAACACTGTGAATTTAGACCAATAACTATGAGGCCCACTTCCCACAGGGATAAATGACAACATTGTCAGTAAAGGCAGCAGCAAATTAGACAGCGATTCCCCAAGTGGTGCTGCAAGTTTATACAATAGACATTGCAACAAAAATGGCTAGTCATCTTTTACCCTACAGGAAGGTAATGCCAAGGTTCTTTCAGAGGCTTCACTGCTGTAAACACACTGGAGAGACATCTTCAGCAAATAATTATAACATGCAGAGTTGTCACTTAATTGTATGCTTGAGGTACTCTGCACATTGAGTGACACTAATTGCACCAAAACTGGAATATTACTAACACATAGCTACAATTTTGTTTCTGTACACAGTGTTGTTGAATAATTTCAGTGTGATTAAATGTTGAGTTGCCAAGGCATGGATTTCCTAAAAAAGCTGTATCTAATATAGTGGAGGCCAAGATCATGGAGAAGTATGTCTCATTGTGAAGAAAAACCTACTAGCCATTATCTCTAAGTGCAAGACTGTGTAGATCCTCTGAATCTGGCACTATCTCATTTTACCAGCGTATTTCATCCTTTTGTGGAAAACAAAGCACAATCTAGGAAGGTTCACTGGTGGAATTTTTTATTTCTAAAATACAAAAGTGGGTTGCAGCAAATGCTTTTGTATTTCTTCTTCTTGCCCAAATAAAAGCTAATTGAAAGACAACAGGGGAGAGAGAGCACTGAAACAAAGGAGAGAAATGTAGTAACCCTGAAGGAAAAGAAAAATGGAGAGGGGGAAGGATGGTCATGAAATTAGAGAGAGATCTTGGGAGTTTGCAGAAGGCAGAGTAAAGAATACCACAGGCAGAGTAAAGAACACCACAGGCAACTGAAAGAAGGACCAAGAACAGAATGGGAAGATGGCTGAGAAATAAACAAGAAATGAAAGGGAACAGGGTGGTTGCAATGGGAAAGGGACAGGGCTCCTGAAGCAGTGAAGATGTTGAAAAATAGAGAGAAGACTTGCTGGAGGAAAACATAAAACTGTCTCCCGTCATCAATCATGTATTGTCTAACTGGAAAACACCCAAGAAATATTCTTCTCTATACCAAGAAGTAGCATCAGATCAAGGAAAAGTATCAAACAGAAAAGAGGCAGAATTCCACCTGCTAAAAATCTCCCATCTCTATGCTCTAACTCTTACAAGATAAGGTATAAAAATGTAGGTGCATGGATTCTTTCAGGGGCAGATGAAAGGGGTATTACTGCAAAGCCTTTTTATGTAGGACCATACTAAAAAAAAAATGTCTGAAATGCTCAAGGTCCTCCGTTTTAAAAAGTTCAGAAAATCCTTCCTTTTTGCTCTTGGCTCTTCAAGAGGATACTTTTCAACACTCATTAAAATGCACTTTTGAAATGAAATGGCTGATCAAAAAGCAAGGTTGTCTCTCCTCAGAATGAAATAGGTTTGTCTGGCTTTTGAACCCACTTTTCAGAAGTATTAAAAAAGTTATTACCAATGTTTTGGACAGTACAACTGAAAAAAAAAATCTTATAAATAGTTCTAAATCTTCTGAAATTACTTCAATAAAACTAGGACTGAAATTTTAGCATGCTGAGCATACATACTGCACCAAAGACATTCAGTATTTTTGAAAATTGAGAGGATATTTTTGTTCAAATAGACGTATGTTGTACTCACTGTCTCTTTCCTTTACAAATATACAATATATACAAAAATAACAAATATACAAATGACAAAGGTCAAACATGAAACAGCAGAGTTTGGGAGATGGGATGGTGGTTTGTTTGTTTGTTTGTTTGTTTGTAATAACTAGCCATGAACATAAAGGGAGACTGGGTTCTTTTGATGGCAAAATCTTTGCTAGAGTGATAAGCTAGAGCAACTAGCTATACTTTGCCTTCTTTTGGGACAAACATCAATTTATATTTTTCCATTGCCTTAAGGAGCTAGCAAATAAAGTAAAATAACAATTCTATCATATCACTTTTTTTGGTAATTGACTAGCCATAGGTGATTTAACACCTCTGAAAAACAAGAATTCAAGAATGCATATTTTAAGAGCATCTGATACTGGCTTTCTATGGACCGATATGATTTACCAGTTCTGTCAAGGTGTTATTATATTGTCTGTACATATCAATATTAACCTGTTTCATGGAAAGCACAATTGATCTTCAGAAAAATCTACTGTAAAAGAAGGGTTCCCATGATTAATATTAGCTTTTGTGTAAACTGCAAAAGTAATCATGAATTATCACAGTCCACAGAAGTGGAAGCTAGAGATAGTTAGGGGGAAAAACATTGCATTGCAAACAGTAATACATGAATAATGCTATCAAAACAGTTATATCAGTGGCACATTTTACACTCCTTACCCACACTATATTCTCATTTCACTTGGCAGAACGTGTCATGTGAGAAAAAAAATTACGCCAGAAGACTAGTAAGTAATTCTGCATTCATGAAAACCAACATTATTTAGTGCTAGTAAAACAGGGCGTGTGTCTGAAATATTTCTACAGAAAAAAACATTCAAACTAGAATAAAGACTCACATATACCGTATGTTTTCCATACAAAATATGTAAATCTAAAAAAGGTTCTTTAGAGGTGTTTGATTATGGAGGCCTGATGTCAAAAGATTTGCATGCTGCTTGCATCTCTAACATAGAATTTCTCTGTGACTATTCTCATAAACCATTTGCATAAGTCAATCAATCTAGTTTCCACCTGAATCCATTTTTGGAGCTCTTACAAGCTGAAGATTCAGAAATATTCAGATCATTCACCTGCAAACATCACTCACATTACTGAATTCGATTGCCTAGATTCATTTGTTCTTAAACACTCAAAACCAATCCGTCCAACCATAGGCACATCACAATTACGAATTTCTGATCTCTTAAGTGAAATCTGGGTATGCCAACCTCATTTACACTACTCTGAGCTCATAACAAGCAACAGATGGTACTGAAATTTTCCATATTCCCCATGACAGGACATATAGGATTTATGCTCCCTCATGTTAAAGACTGTTTACATGTTTATGTGATGAGGAGATAGGATGAGCTGAGAGGCAATGGCACTTGCAACTTCAGTGTCAGCCCCATCTGCAGTCTGTCTTAAAGATGGGCTGGATCAGGTCAGTCTTTGTGAGCTTTGTGTGCACCACAGGGTATCTCCTAGGAGGCTAGTTCAAGTACAGCTGCTTCCATCTACACCCTGCTATTAGGGGATCATTAAAAACTGAACTTAGTAATTTTTCTACAAATATGTAAATAAAACCAGCAGACTTGGAAAATGAACATATTCTCCAATGGCTAAACAACCTCACAGGGTTCTGTACACAGTATGTTAAAACAAAGCATTCAAGAAATCACGCTTGATTTTCTACTATTCATTTTCAGTCAAGCCATATAAAGTATAATGAAAGACAGAGAAAACCAAATATCACCTGCAATACTGTTGCCACGACTACGTGGCAAGATATATTACCTAGAAACTACATCTCCTCTTCTTTCCTCTCACTAAAATGTATATAAAGTATCAAGAACTTCCAGTCTGGATATTTTTGGGTACAGATGGTTTTTTTGAACAGGTTGCTTCTTCTTCACTATGAGTAAGGAGACATATTCCAAATAAAGTATCTTATGAAATACCAAATTGTGCTGGTTGACAGTTTAATTTGACATTATTTGACTGGTCATTTAGTTTTATTTACTTAATTTATCAGCTCAAAAGAAACAATGACAGGAAAAGCCATATTGGGAATTATCAAGCAAATAAAATTACACTTGAATTAACAAGCTGAAATTAGCTAAGTGATTTGTTGTGCAGCTAATCATGCTTCATAAAATTAGCTTATACTAATTTCTAAGCCTCCAGACCATTAGCACCACTACAATTCTACATACTGGGAATTTGCTGGATCCTGTGCACAACCACAAACGCATCTGAAAGTCCCACTTTCACTGGGTGGTTGGTTGAACTTATCTGTGTTACAGCGACAGGAATCTGGAAGACAAAACAGGAAGATATACATGAAATATTGAACTAAAAAAACTCTGGCTAAAAATAAGAGCACTGACAAAATGAAAATTTAGCCAGTGTCAATTACAAGTCCTAAATAAATATTTTATACAACATAGCATAATATGACCAAGAATTTTTTGAAGATAGAAATTACTGGTTTTAATTTGAATTTTAACCCAGTTTCCTTTGCTTCTTATATAACAGTGCTCACATTAACACAGGTAGAACAATTGTTAATGACAAAGCAGAAAGGGTAGTAATTTTGAGCAATTTATTTCCCTCAGTTGAAGAAAAAGTAGGATGATTTGCTGCTAATACTCAGGGAGAGGAAGGCAATACCTCTCATCTACTACTGAACACAAAACCAGCATATCTTGCTTCTCCACATATCAGACCTAGAATTCAAAAGTTCTATCAATGACTGAGAAGTAGACATAAATTTAATGCCAAGTAGTTCTCCAGATGGCACTAGCAGAGTAAAATTAGTGAAATGCCTGAATCAATTAGCAATGTTAGACATTGCAAAAACTGCAAAGATGTAACTTGGACAAAAAAAGAACACAAGGTAGAGGATTGGGAACTATGGACTAGAAAGCAGCAGTTCTGGAAGGAACCTCAGTATTGTATTGGATGAGCAACTCCAGCAGTCAGAAAGGACATCCCAGCAAGAAAACCTAATGGATATGATATTTGGATCCACAGTGAAATATAGCCTAGGAGTGGGGTGGTCATTTTACTTGTACCTAAACATTAGATCATTACTGATACATTACACAGATTTTGAGAGGATATATTTCTTAAAAAGATGCTAAAAAATATAAGAGAAGGAAGATTTAAAGTGTCATAAAAATATTTTGTAATCTTCAGTTCTCAAATGACATTAACAGGAGGGGTAAAGTGGTCTGTCTATTTGGCTTCTCAAAGAGATAATGGAAAGCTGGCTAGATTATCATAAACAAGTACTACCACAGGGAGAAATTGCTCAGGTCTTTTTTTTAATTCTAGGACAGAAGGATATAACCAGAAGTTGGAAACTTCAGGCAGGTACCTTCAGAGTAGAATAAGCTACATGCTTCTATAACTGAATGTTATAAACCACCGGGATAAACAACCAAGAACAATTATGATTCCCTATCCATTGCTGCTTTCAGATCACAGTTGGATATCTTATATTTCAAAGCTGGCCTTTATTTAACCAGACATTACTAAAGTGAAGACAGATGAAATTGGATTTAGTGTATGAAAATGAGCACCAAGGTGTTAGTTTAGCTAATCTAATATCCTCCTCTGGCTTTACCTGGGTAAAACTATCGAAATGATACTGTTGGCCAGTACTTTTCACATAGCAGAAAAGTGCCAAACTAAAAATCTGGTTACTTTTTCCAGTGAATGAGGATTCAGTTCTGTCTGCATGTCAATTAATGTCATGACTTCTGGTACTTGAATTAAACATCAGCAGTTGTTCTCCTTGTTCCGAAAATACCAGGTAGCTACACTTTTTCCTGATTACACTGATAACTGTTTAGTAAAAGCTAAATTTAAGAATACTAACAGAAAAAGTCTGTTCTGTTGAACTTAACATTGTAATAAATTTGAATTTTTTTACTTAATTTAGCGATTTTTTTTTAAGGAGTTCTTGCATACATGATCTGCTGCAGTATAAAAAAGGTGTGAGATGTTCTTAAATCAACATGGAAAACAGAAGTGGCTTGGAAATACTAGTAATGCATCAATTTTAAATTTGGCTTATATCAGCTTAGCTCTGATGCAGTTATTGGAGAATGACAGAAGAAGGTTGAAAATCATATTTTCAAATTCTTCAAAATAAAAGACTCACCAAGATCAGAAATAAGTCTATAAATTTTCTCTAACATAAAAGTATAAACAAAATAAGGAAATTATTCATAGTCACAGAATACTAAAAAGAAAAGCTTACATTAGCTGTCAAAGAAACTGTCTTAAAGGATTTTAAGGATACTCTAGAGAAATTATTGAAAATTAAGTTAGAAAAAGCACTGTTTAGAAAGATATAATGACTATTTCTTTTGCAAGACAGGGAGGGAACACAACAGATGAAGAAAGGACACAGAATGTAGTTGGAATCATCATTATGAGTAGGTGTGACAAAATATAATGGTAAAATTGGCAGCTCAAGGCACAAATTGTGTCTGATGCATGAAAAGAAGTATACTAATTTGTGTGTGTAAGTATAAATCAGAGGAAGTTACACTCAGTCTCCTTGAATAAGATTCCTTTGTTTTAAGTATTTTCTTTAAGACACTTATTTTAAGTGCCTTTTCACATGTTTGTTATGAATTTGGGAACTATTGAACAGCTTTCTTCAAAAATTAGAAAAAAGCAAACTAATTTCTCCTTTTTTTTTTCACCTCCCCCCCCAACCCTGGGAAGGAGTAATAGGTTCTTGCAGTACTAATGCCACAAGTGAATTTGGTTTGGGTTTCTGAAAATAAATTTATTTTCATTACAATTTGGTTCAGGAGAAATTAGAAAAATTCGTAGCAGAAATAACTCAGTAGATTTTGCCCAAAATCCCTGCAGATGTCCACACTCTTCTGCTGGGTATTCTAGTGTGAGTAAGGAAATTGAAGAATAATCTTCTAAAACAAATAAGGAAGTTGTAGTAGGGTCCAGTCTAATAAAAGAAGCAGCCAAAAGTTTAGATATATGTTATAGAAATGGGGTTTAGCAAGTGCTTGTGTAAGCTTAAAAAAAAAAAAAAATTAAATTTGGATAGCAAGCTCTTCAAACTGAAGGGCAGCCTGTGTCAAACAGTCACACAGACAGAAATGTAGTCAAATTAGAAGGGAAACCATGACTCAGGAACACTCTTATTCTCCTGAAAAACTACAGTGTCATTAAACCTGTATTTACAAAACCATATATCTATTTTTAAGGTGGGAAAAAGAAATTTATAATGAGTTTACTGAGTGCTGTATTACAAGTGAAGTCTTTCACATGAGATGTCAAGATAAAATGGGCTTTCACCATACACTGGCCTATTAGGAAACACGCCCTTTTGACGGAAGGTTTGTACTAAATATCAAAATAATTTACTGAAAATTATAGTAAAACATCAGTAGCAAGCTAGCTGCTGTTCTGAATTCTTCACCTGAATGGCAAGATATGTCACAACAGGCCGACATGTTAAATAGCTGAACAGTAAGCTGAGAATGTGCAGGTGGTTGCTAATGAGTGGCAGTGGTTTTATGGCATTACCTTCAGAGAATACTTTTTAGCTACTTTAATTCCAAAGTGTATATTATCTCTACCACAGAAAATATGAACTTTTGTGTTGTACAAGTCACCAGTTTATGAATAAATTTCCCAAATTCAACTGGTACTGAGGTCATTAATGTGTACATTTTGGATTATGTACTTTGACAATGGGAAGAAAGGTATTTAGAATTCATTCTGAATTCTAGCTATCATTGGGACCAGTAATTCTTTTCAGCTTTGAGGTCATGCCAGAACCTTATCCTTCAAAAAGGAATAAAATCATGGCCTCTAACCTTATTCTGAAGGAGATGGTAAAGAAGGGTGCAATTACTACCTCACTTCAAAACTGAGTAAAAGATAAAAGACAAAGTATGTTGCAAAATAATAATGAGGAAAGCAATAATAGTACTTATATAGGGTTTTCACTGAGAGTTTCCTAAACAGCTGTTAATTACTCTGCAGGCTAAACTACATGAAACCTACTAGTGAATTTTAAATTGCATAAAATGACTACCTCAAAAATTAAAGATTCTGTTTCCATGTTAATATTTTTGATAACAATAAAAGAGGCAAAGAAATGCCAGGCATGTATAACCTAGGCAGAACATCCATCAGGAAGATGTTTTTTTTCTTTTTTTTTTTTCTTTTTTTTTTTTTTTTTAAATTTCTGTTAGTTTTCAGGCAGCAATAACAAAGTTTGTAGTCTTGTTACTGAAAACAGTGTATTTCCATCGCACAGAGCAGGGGCATAAATTTTATTTTATTTTTATTTTATTTATTATTATATTTATTTTATTTTATTTATTATATATATTATTATATTTATTTTATTTTATTTAAGTTCTAGCACTTTATCAGTTTCTTTCAATTCTGTCTCTCCTTTCACAAGAGAAAGAAATTATATTACAACTTTCTTTTATAAATTTTTTTCAAACTTCACATACTTGGCAATTTGAACAAGCATTTCAACTTTAATAATGGTTTCTGGATGACCACATAAATAGAAAATCATTACTATTTAAATGAACAAAGAAAGCCTGCAGGCTACTGAAATTAAGAAAAATACCCTAAACTATTAACAGGGTCTATGGTACCTTTGCCAATTTTTTCCTGTATTAATCATGGACAGAAAATGAAACAAAATGTTACCCTAAGGAACATTAGCTCTAAGCATTAATGGGAAAAGACTATACAGAATAGTTATTTTGTTCAATTAGAAGCAAAACTCTTGAGAATTGAACTTCAGTGAAATTTAGAATGTAAGAAATGAGTATTCACTACTAATTCCTAAAAAGTATGCCTTCACAGAAATTTTTCTTTATTACTTTGTTCTGTTGGCTAGTTTGCACTGTAATCTATTTCATCTGTAGTAGAGGTGCATCAGTAAAATTTTCTTGCTAGCTGTTTCCTGACATATTGACCATTTACCAGAATTCTAACAGTTGGCATAAGCAAAGTGATACTTAAAATTGAAGGTATGTGCACTGTAAAGAAAGTAAATTGCTAAAGAAATAAATATTTTGCTTGCTATAGGACCTTGTTATATTTTAAATTGTTTTCACATTTTGAAAACTTGACTATACAGTTCCTTCTAACAATTAACACTTCTGAAAGATATTCTGATGTCTCCGTATGTCTCTATCCTGGTGATTCAGCTCCTTTACTAATTGTTTATTTTTTCAAAATCTGTTCTAGTTCTTGGATAACAAATTATGAACTTCAGGTTGCTTCCTACTGGAAAAACAACAGAATGCAGAAAATTGAGCAGAACAGCTCCTTTCATACTCAGCAAACCTCAGCTGAGATCCTGTCTTTGTGGTCAACAGGTCTATAAGGTAGTAAACCTGATATGGGAGCAGGAAGGATGTGAAGAAGGGAATCTCAAATCATTTGAATAAATAAGAATTGGAAGGTAAAATTTACCCTAAATGCTTTAGACGTAAAAGTCCCTAGTTATACCTCCCTTAAATGTATAAACACAGTTATTTTAAAGGTAAATTCTTCAAGATAAATGTGTCACTTGAACAGAGCCCCTGTTGGATGCTTTATAAGGTTACTGGCAAACCGTCTGCTGCATTTCTTACATGGTGCTTCAGCTTGGTGATTGCAATGATAGTGCCATGAAGACCTTGCAGATTTGCCACACATCACTCTCATTTCTGATGGACTGGGATGCTAAAATAAAATGGCATCAAAAAGACAGTAGAGATCTTCTTGTGCAACTTATAGTTGTGCTAGTGAGCAATTACACAAGTCATCTTACTGGAGTTAATGGGGTACCTGACAACGTGACTCACCAGCAAGAGAAATGGTTCCAGAAGGAAGGACTTCCTCAGAAAGGAATGGCTTTGGCACTGGAAAGTAAATCTAGCCAGACATATCAAGACTAGAATCCAAAGAACATCTTTGTTTGTTCTTTTCAGACAACTTGTGTTTGATCAGTGATTGGCAATTTTATTTAATTTTCCTCATTTAGGAGAAAAGCTGAGGTGATGGTAATGCAGTAAAAGCTGCAAATAAAGAAAGTAGTCTTCTGGAAATCTCAGCCTCCTAATCCATTCTCCAAGTAATTCCTATTGGAATACACTGATTTTAGCTTTCTAAAATTTTACAAAAACCTTTTGTCAAAAGATTTACTGATCATTACCATGTTACTATTATAATTTTAAAAAGTCTCTTTCCTTAGCTATGTGCAATAGCTCCAAAGTCATATTTAATAATTCCATTCAGGACAAGAGTAACTCATGACAGGGGATGAGTTAAAAAAATTCAGCAGTAGGAAAAAAGCACATTATCCATTTGTGAATTCCAGTTTTCTCTCTCAGAAAACTGGGAGGTGGCCCATTTCTTCCTTCTTCCTAAATTAATAAAGTTTTTAACTGCCTGACACTCTGACTCCAAAGTCAATTACCTGTATGCAAAATGAATGCAAGATACTTTCAATTTAGAGCAGCAACTAGTACTATCGATATTAAATTCATTTTGCACAGGGCTGGACAGTAACAGAGAGAGCAGAGTACCTTATAACCAAGAATAGTAGTATCCTGAAAATGTCACCATTTTAATATCTGAATGCATATATAGTTCTTGACAAAAATATCTTAAAATTACAAATTGAAGTACTGTCCCTTCCCACCTCTCTGGGTCTTGAAGGTAGGAAATTTTCAGCAGTCTTTAGAAGTTTTTGCCTTTCTTTGAAAAGATTTCAATAACAGGAGATAAACAAAGATTTAGTGCACAATCCTTTGATCAAGCATAAGCTCTGTAGTTCTATGCAGAGTAAAGCTTATATGAAGTTGGATTCAAAATGCAAATAAACTGCAGTTTCATAGATGAAGATTCTAGCCTGTACCTAATATTCAGAAAAAGAACCTAAGGAGACCTTGCATCAGCATGTCTTTTATAAGAAAAGGACGGCCAGGTACGTAAGCATACCAGAAGTTTCTTGCTTCTACAAAACAGATCCAGTAAGAGCATTCTGCAGCAATCCTGTTTGCAAGGTGCAAAGATATGACTGCAAGGTGAAGATATGACTGCTGCTAATAGACTAACCCAGATCCTCTCTACTTTCTAATGAAGGGGATAGGAGTTATTATTTTTTATTACTTAAATTAAGAGAGAAAAAGAGAAAGAGAGAAAGTGGGAAAGAAAGAAAGAAAAAGGGAAAGAAAGAAAGAGGGAAAGAAAGAGGGAAGGAAAGAAAGAAAGAGGGAAGGAAAGAAAGAAAGAAAGAGGTAAAGAAAGAAAGAAAGAAAAAGAAAGAAAGAAAGAAAGAAAGAAAGAAAGTAAAAGAAAGAAAGAAAGAAAGAAAGTAAAAGAAAGAAAGAAAGAAAGAGGGAAAGAAAGAAAGGAAGAAAGAGAGAAAGAGAAAGAAAAAGAGAGAAAGAGAGAAGGTAAGAGAGAGAGACAAAGAAAGAAAGAAAGAAAGAAAAAGGAAGAGAGAAAGAGAAAGAAAAAGAGAGAAAGAGAGAAGGTAAGAGAGAGAGAGAAAGAAAGAAAGAAAGAAAGAGAAAGAATAAGAGAGAAAGAGAGAAAGTAAGAGAGAGAGAGAAAGAAAGAAAGAAAGAAAGAAAGAAAAGAAAGAGAGAAAGAAAGAAAGAAAGAAAGAGAGAGAGAGAGAAAGAAATTCCTCTTTGCCCCTAGAGATTTGAGCTTGTCTACTTTCTGATTCTCATTTTCATGAATCACAGAATCATTGAATCATAGAATACCAGTCTGAAAGAGGACCTCAAGGATCATCTGCTCCAACATGTCCTGGCAAAAGCACTAAAATTGAATTAGGTTACAGCCTTCAGAACTCTAGTAAGAAAAACAAAATCACTTAAAGCAACAACTGGAATTCTGAAACACTTCAAGAATGCAGAAGAGCACATCCAATACAACATATTGGTGCTATAAAGCCAAACCAAATGGCCTCAATCTAAGCAGTTTTATCACCAAACAGATGGAAAACCTCAAAGACCTAGTGATACAAACCAGTTATTTCTTATTTGAAATATATGAACTTTGAACTATGTGAGTTGCTAGAAATGACAGCTGCAGGAAAAAGGTGACCTTTTAATACTAACCATTGATTCTAGAGTATTTTCAAACAGGTCAAAACTGGGTGAACTAATTGAGCAAATTAGACCCTATCTTTTAAAACTCAAGAGGAATTTACTTAAAAACCAAAGAATTTACTAAACACTCAACATTTACAACCATGTAAAAAAGTCCAGTTGAAATCCAGGAGTAGCATATTTGAGTCCCCTTGATGGTTTTTAAGTTCACCATATGAACAACACTTTTACAATAAAACAATTATTTTCAGCAAAATATTGATCTTATGAGCAATATAATGAAATGATCTTATATAGCTGATCTTTCAAATATCTTCCACTCACAGAAAAAAAGTATGGAAAATCCTGGCAGGTATAATTTGTCCACTTAAACGATAATTTTCAGACCCAACTTACTTCTTTGTAGCCGAAAATGATACGCCCATCATTGAGAAGGGTGGCCTGAAAAGTGAAACTGCCCAGGTTGTAATTATCCTGCAGATGTACATGGTCCCACTGGACAACTAGTGCTGTGCCTGTGAACCCCAGAGCAGGGGTAGAGAGGCAAAGGGAAGAAAAAATGTAAGAAATACATTAACTGACTGTAGGAAAAGTACTTAACTGCAGTTACTTGAAACAAGAACAGTGATTAGCCTCTTTTTAGCAACTTTCAGCTCCACACCTTGAAATGCCAAAGATATTAAAAACACAAGTTGCCACTGGAATCCTCTTACATGCAGACACCACAGTGCCTCGCACAAGCACCTCAACTACCTCTAAAGGAGTGGTCAAGTAACATGTTTGGAATCAACAATCACTAAAGGTAAGATCCAGCACTCAGAGTTCAGGTGTGCTGCCATTACCACTTCTCTGCAGGGGCTTTTTTGCACTATATACATAAACCCAGATGACTTTGAAATGTGAAGTGCTAATAGCATTACCTGCTTAATAAATGTTATTATTTGAGGAATTCAGATTCTGCCATTAACTATGCATTAATTAAACAGCATTAATTTTTTTCTGTATGGTACAAGTCCTTGCTGAGGTTCTGCAAGTTGAAACATATTAAGTATTTGCATTAAATAAATGTAGTTTAAATCAAACTCACTAAGAATTCATGCATAGGGTAAATATTGAGTCTGGTATGCAGAGATTTAGTTGCAAGAGGCTGCTTGTTAATATTCATGGGAGTTCACTAGCTGAATATCCACTTATCACAGCAAAAATGTACCCCAAGCAACTTGCATACCCTGTGAGCATGATTTATAGATGTTGAAGGTTATATTTAAGTAGCTTGACTGAAGGACACATCACCAAAACCGTGTTTACTAAAAACAACATTTTTGTCTTTATATGGCTTCCTCTACAGCTTCTCTCTTCGGTGCTAATGGAGTCATGTGCTTTGATTCACACTTTTATTTCCTTTCTTCCTGGAGTGTTCATGATGGCTCAGTATGCATCCAGCTCAAAATATTTTTGATATATCCTTGAAACATCTTTTGTCACAAATCTGCTGTGCTATAACTCTCATGAACACATCTTGGCAGGGGGGGTCATAAAATTATGAGCATGCAAAGTTTGAGTGCTCACTGCATTAAGTCCACCACATCATTGTCCCTTGTGATTTTCATAGATATAGTACATAATCATTAATTGTGCAGACAGTGCATTTTTTGCTTTGTGACCACATTCATTAACTGCTTTCTGAATATTTATTTGATTGTATTAAATTTTATTTAAAGGTAAATTGACTTTTAAAATTATATGTATTATCTAATAATATGATAATATTTAAATTTTAATATATAATTAATAATGATAAAATTATTGAAATAAAACCAGCCAGAATTTCTTATGGTTGGTCTTTGAGTACCTCAGATCTATGTGCATCTCAGAACCCCACCCTAAAATGAAAATCATCTGCCATCAAAACTGTCATCTCATTCCTGGGGCTTTTAGGTAGATTTGTGTGTATCTAAACTCCTTGCAGTGAGCTCTGTCAGCAAGACCTTGATGGACCCCATACCTTGTGCTTGCCTACTACAGATGCCGCTCTAAAGTAGCACATTTACTCATGCAAAGAAAACATGAATGAATAAGAAAAAAGGTGCTGAAGATACAATTGCTCAGTTCCTTTTTATTTGTGCTAGGATAGCCAATTCTTTGTCCTAAAGCACATGGAGTTCAAAAGATCATGTCTTACACATGAAGAGCGATCCAAAATCTCAAAGAACCGTTTAACTTTGTCATGAAAGCCCTGTGATACAGCCTGATATATGGAAGTCAGGAATGTAATAAGGATTAGCAATGTCTCCCCGAGAATCCTCAGATTCTTTAAACAAAGATGAAAAATCTCAGGCCATAATGATAAATAATTTATGAAATCAAAATTATATTTTTTTCCTGTTTTAAATTCTGCAACGACTAAATTTTAAGGAAAGGTTATGACTGGGTACAAAATTTATATGATACATATTGATCACTGTTCTAAAGAATAAAAAGTAGCACACCTGGTCAGAAATATGATATGTTTTTTAATATGCTGTAAATTTATGCTTAAATTCACAATAAATAAACATACAGGTTAATCCATGTGTAGATCCATGAAGATTTAAAATTCATGGATCTTATGATATTAAGTCATGATACTAAACTGTCTAAGTTTTAAATTCAGAATAGACAGTAACTGCCACTGTTGTTGACCACTAAAGGCCTGAGATAAGGCACAAGATGCCTTTTAACCACATGGGTTATGTTTCTAAAATATTGATTATAACTGAATTCAAGAGAAAAATATCCACACGTTCAAGGCCTTTGAAATATCTCACAGAGTTTCAAGAATAACAGTGCAGTTAGCATTTTACTCTTTCAATCTTTTTTACAAGGATCTGTTGAGAATTCATGGTGTAGATTCCAATGCTGGGACTCCATGAACACTTAGTCACTGACAGGTTTATTAATCTTATGCCTGCCCTGCTTCTGTGCATTCTTGCTATTGCATTCCACAAATGCTATTTTCATTTTAGGTAGTGGGTAGATGGTATTCATATATATCTATATATATTTTGAAATAGCAGGACCTTATGCTTTTATACAAGACAGATTTTTCCTTTTAAAACTGATAAAATGCATTGCTAGTTTGAGTTATGTACTTCAACCTCCAGAAGATATCTGTTTGATAAAAAAAAGCATTCATGACTCTTTCAACTCTAAACTAAGAACTGTTTATGTTTGTCTAGCTACATGCTTTATACACCTTGTGAGTTAAAGAAAAAAACCACACACACAAAAAAAAAATCTTCAATGTTCCCCTCAAAAATAGTTATTTAGGAAAATAAGAAGAACCAAGGGATACATACACATTCATTTATGAAGGACTGCTACATACCATTATCAAAGTATCTGACTGTTGAATTTCTTGATACACTGGGGTCAAAATTTGCCATTAAGGGTGCAATATATTGGGTAGCTGTTAACATTCGATGTACAACTTCTCCAGTATATATGAAACCTACAATTAAAAAAAAAGAAAACATTTCAGTAAATTCTGGAAAGGTATATAGAATGGCAGGTTGAGTTAGGCATTGCCAGAGCACTAGAGGGTCATCTGAGAGAAATTAATTCCACTACAATTTTTATAGTGAATTAAATAAGAGCTAAAATTTCAGGAAAACATCTGTCATGGCTGCAAGAAGAATACAAAACAAAATGAAGAGTGGAACAATTAGTTCAAGAAGGAAGTTTTCGTACAGAAATAAAACAAGAAGAAACTCAAAGAAGAATAACTCCAGTTAAGGAAAATATGCAAGTATGTGGCATTATGAAAATGAGCCATTTACCACCAGGCATAGTCCATAGTGCTTTCTTCTATCCTTTCCAAAAAATTTCAGTTTGTTTTGCTTTTGGAATTTGTGACCTCTTCAAAATTTATTCTAACCCTTTTTATATTTCTAGAGACACAGAGTAAGAGACTATTTCATACAAGAAGAGTTGACAACCTTTAAAAATAAACTTAGATGAAGAGTGGAACAGATAGGACAATTCCAGGATTATAAGCCAAGAAAAATTCTCTGCAGTGTCAGGTCTTGCTAGGTTATCCTATTCACTCCTGAATCTACTATAGTCCTCAGATTAATAGTGGCCTCCTTTCATCAAAAAACTCTGGTGGTTTGGAATTGGAGTCCTTCCTTTGAAAGAACAGTCATCTATGGTGAATACAGTAATCCTGTAGTTTTTTTCAAAGCAAAAATTTGTGTATTTCAGTGGTAGGAAACCCCTTCAATTTTAAACAGTAGATGGTCTACAAATGTTAATGTTTGCTTTACCCTTTGCCTTTAAGTTGATTTGGCTACAGGTAGATCTCCAAAACTGAGGTTTGATATTACCACTCCTCCTAAAGTGTTTACCAGATGGTGCCTTGTGATGAAATGTTTGCTTTTTCTCCTTCTTGATTCAATGAAGTATATTCCAACAGCAAAAATCTCAACACGAGGAATATTAGAATATTTTCTAATATGAAAAATTTTATTTGAAAGATTTTTTTACTGACAAATGATAGTATTCAGCCCTTCTCAAATCTTCGTTCGTGAAGCCTAGCCATGATGATGATGATGATGATGATACTATTCATTGCAACAGTTTTTCACTGGTTTGTGTTTCCTTTTCCGTCTTCAATCTTACTGAGAATTCCTTTCACTGTCAAATCCAAGAAATCCTTTCTTCTCACATTAAGTATCATGCCAATGCAACATTTTACATAGGAGCATGCAAATCTATCCCTAAAATACAATTGTGAAATTCCAGAACTAAATACAAACCTGATCAAATCTCCTGTTAACAGATGATATTAAAAAACTATTAGCGTGCAACCTCGCTTTCCTAACAATAGTATCTCCATCTTAACCACTGTGAGATGACAGACTTATTTGATACAATACAGGAAACCTATGGTTGCATGAAAAACAGTAATTTTCTGGAGTGCTTTAGCCATCCCTCTACTCCTTTCCTCTCCCAAAATATGTAGTTAAATTCTTGATAACTCTTCAAGGAACTAGTTCTAGAAGTGATAAGATGTTACAAAGAAACAAAGAAGAAAGGTGGTTCTCTGGAATAATTCCTCTGCATGGTTGCTAGAATTTAAAATCAAGTTTTGTGAAGTCAACTAATGCAGAGGTGATAGGAGAGCTAAGAAAAAGCCAAGTGTGGAGAAAATACAACAAAAGATTCAGTTGCAAGATTTGGCATCTGACAAAGAGGTGAGCTAGGAATCAAGCTGCTTTTTCTTCCTTTAAAACACATCTGTGTATCAGAAAAATACAGTATTTTAATATCTGAACATTATCTAACTTCTAAATTAAGTCTTAGGACTATACTAAAACTTCTTTTTTTTGGGGGGTGAAGAGGGGAGGGAGGGAAGAGGGTGAGGAAGTGAGAGAGTTGGGGGGTAGATTCCTTCAATTGAATATCTAAGTATCACTTTTCTTTTTTGGTAATTGATATGGAGAGAGAAACATTAGTTAAAAAAAAAAATCTGCCCACACATATTTACAAGAAATTATAAACCCTGAATTTTCAGAAAATAGAAGTGCAGCTGGAATTTTACTCTATAACTCATTATTTTAGGGTAGCCAACTGTCTTGCCAAAGTATAGTCCCTGAAATGCATTTTCATTATTTCTCTTTTATTATTGTCTGCTTCTTAAATGTCATTCCCTTGTGAAATAATCCTTTATTCTTATTTAGACATTCTAAATACATACAATTTCATAGAAATATACTTCATATTATATTCTACTTATTATCCCTGTGCTCATCTGCACACATATTTTAACACAACTATGGGTAGGTCTATAACCTTGAAACCCTTCCTCAAAAATAATATTATGACAATACAAACAAAAACCTTTGAATCCATATTCTTTTATTACAATTAGCCTTAACAGTTCAGTACTTATTCATCCCTTGCACGATGGTCCTATCCTTACACACAGTTTCCCTTTCATGCTGCCATCCCATTTACAGTATAAATGTTACCATTATAACTAATAATGAGGCAGATACAATAGGGAAAGAAAGGACTTAATTGTGCTGGAACACATAACTAAGTAAATCAGCCCAAGTAATTAGTAACCACAGAGTGTATTTCCAAGGGTTTGCCGGATGCAGCTTTACTATAGACAAAAATGGAAAGCAGGAGGTGGGTGATAGCTGGGAAACGGGCAGGCCTTGCATGAAGATCATTCTAATGAGAACTCCAGGCATGCACTGGAACAACTTGAAAAGAAACACGAAGTCATTTCAAATCATCCCAGAGATTTAAAAGCTGAAGCCACCGTTGACCATGGACATTTTATCATTGTCACTACAACTTAAAGAAGGCAGCAAATGTAAAATTAACTTATTCCTGAATGGAATTCCACAGAAAACTGGCTTATTTTATCTGTGACCTAATTTTCTGACAGTGGTAAATGCTTATGGTTGATTCATTTAGTCAAGGAAGAAGTTTTCAGACCTGCAATTTCCTGAACCACTTAATCTGTCTTTTGTAGAAGGCATTGGTAGAGTTCTTTTCCAAAACTTTCCACAAGCATTATACCTAGAAGTATAATATGTTCCTAAATACTGGAATGAAGACAAATAGGAAAGAGTGCTCAGCATTTTGTAAGTCTAATATGTACACATAAATTTGACTAAAAATAAGGCTGAAATATTACTAAAACTACTTGTAAATCAACAAAGGTACAGTTTTAGTTCTCGTAGTGTACAAATTTACACTCTCACAAATAGGGAGAAAATACATATAACTACTTAACTATGAAAGCACACTTCTACCTGATGTAGGACACTGAATTGGTTTAAAAATGCATTTTACATCTGAATTTTTCTACTCCAAAATATACTCCTTTTCTGTTCCACATTAGCATATTAGGTTTACAAAGAAAATTTCATGTACAAAAATACAACATTCTGCATGTAAGATTTCTGTGGTTTCTTTTTTTATACTCCTAGCTATGCACAAACTCAGTATGACTTAGAAAGTTTTTGACGATGTTAGCCAAGTGTACAGAATAACAGAATATAGGTTCAAAGCAGCACAGGCAATGAGTCCTTTGAAGTTGCTATTGTGTGTCTAGAAAGATGATAGGATATGGGGTATACAGATAATAAAAAAAAATGAAATATCTAGGTTGATAACTATCTTCTAAGTTAGTTGATAACTAACTTTTAAGATAAACCTTCTAAGACCTTGAATGAAAAATTACATAAACCTGAGCCTGATATACAGGTGACAATATGATAAAGCGCTTTTGCACTTCAGTATTTAGCTGAATTAGAACAAATCCACTTCAGGTTGTAATTCCATGTGTAATGTATTTTTAAATATATGAAACAACTGGTCATATCTTAAAAGCATTATCTTGGATAAGGGTATAAATGAATTGTACTTGTGATGAGGAGGATCCCTTTTGAGAGTATATATATAGGTGCCCTGTACCTCTTCAAAGCTATTATGGCAGTTCAGTCTACCTATAATGTGGTGGAATGACCTTTGCCATCTGCCTCATGCCCACTCACCTTCTCTCTCAAAACCCTTCCTCAACAGGATAGAAGGACAAAATAAGATGAAAAAACCTGTGTGTTCAGATATTGACTGGGAGAACACTTTCTAATTACTGTCATGGGCAAGACAGAAGTGATTTTGGGAAAATTATTTTAATTTGCTGCTAGATAAAACAGGTTTGCATAGTGAGAAAGACAGATTAAAACACCTTCCCTCCACCCCCCCAACTATTTCCCTGACTTAGTGCCACTCTGTTATTCCTGACCCTTCTACCTCCTCCTCCCCATTGAGCAGTGCAGCGGGATGGAGAACGGGAGTGGTCAGCTCATAACACAATCCGTGTCACTCCTTTCTCCTCATATTTTTTCCCTATTCCACTGTAGAAATTTCCCATGCACTGCAATCCTTTAGGATAAGCCTGCTCCACTGTGGGTCCTCCATGGTTTCTTTAGGACAGTTCCACCTTCACAGGCTACAGCACAGATATCTGCTTCAGTGTGGCTCTTCCACAGTCTGCAAATACCTGCTCCAGCCTGATCCACAGATGCTTCAGTGCCTTTATGATTCCCTCCTCCTTCTTCTCTCTCTTCCCTTGGTGTTCAGAGTTTTGTTTCTCATGCGTTTTCCCTCAATCCTAACACTGGTATGCAACGTTTTTCAACCTTTCTTAAATATGTTCCCCTGGAGGTGCCACCAACGTGGTTCATGGGCTCAGCTGTTTCCTGCAGTGGGTTCACTGGAGCTGACTGGACCTGCCTCTGTCTGACAAAGGGCAGACCCTCATGTCCTTCTATAGAGGCAGCCACCCCACTACCTAAACCTTGCAATAACTCACAATACAGCCTAAGACTTAACCTAATATTTTACTTGTTTTATATATTACCTCTTCCATATTCTATTTTACCTAATATGCAAAAATAAAACAATTTTCCTGAATTACTGGAATTTCTT